GCAGTCCGCGAAGGAGGCATCTCATAATGGCATAATCATACCGAGAGAGCGATTCGGGGAGATAACTATCCACCTCTTCCTCCTCAACTATATCCAGGACTATCCAGAAAAATGTGTCATTGCAACTGTGAAATTTGGTGCGTGTCCAACATGCACCGTGTCGAAAAACGACTTTGATGTCATTGCCGATTTCACAAACTACAGGAGATCACAGACACTGGAAACACAACTCGCAGCAGATGTGTTCAACGCCGATAACATCGACATTCGCCGTGCCGCTGAAGCACGAATGTCAGAGTTGAAAATGCACAAGCATGTTCAACAGAACGGCCTTTGGGGATTCTACAGGGGCCCCAATGGTGATGATCCTCAGCTAGACTACCACCTGGCATTGCAACCAGACCGTATGCACATAATCGAGCATGGCATATTCTTGCACATGATTGACATATTCAGGACCGCAGCCTTTGAGAAGCTGGCACACTTACCGCATACAAAGATCCTAAAGGAACTGGATGCAAGGTTGCAAAGCGTTAGTGAGAGATGCACTCGAACATACCCCCAACTTGTGTTGCCCGTGACCACTGGCAGCGACTTTTTTTCGAGGGAGGGACGATTTGAGGCCAAGCAAAATCGGTCTGTCATGACGGTGTGCGTATTCCTTATTTGTAATATTATCCCATGCTCGACAGACAAGGGCATTACCATTTATTTTGTGAAACTAATGGAAATGTACATACGCGTATTTCGGTGCACGACACACACTCGTGCTTCACTCGATGAATGCGATGCTTTGATCACGGACTTCATAACGACCATCAAAGCGAAACTGGGAAAATATCAACCATCAACATAGAAAATTCCCAAGTTGCAAGATCTCTTGCATCTGAGAACGTGCGTTGAGTGATCCGGTATCCCCGACACCTTCGCGGCGTACGTATGAGAGCGTCACTACAGGAAGTTCTGCAAACATCCATACCTGTCATCAAACAAGCGAAAAACTTCAACCCAGATGGTGGACCATGTATGCCGGTCATTGGCATTGCGTGAAGAGACAAAGACCGTAAGGAAATGAAGGAAGAGAACAGTTGAGAACCGGTTGTCCGTGACAGACTGTATGGTCACCGGAATGAACACCCTCGCACTACGCGATACAGCAGCTCTGCAACTGCAGTGGTTCAACATCGATGACGAGTACATACAGGAGGAGGAAGGCATTGACAACCTTGCGTATAAGATACTCAAAGAGCTTCCTTGTAGACTCTATTTCCGAGCTGCGCTGACAACGTACATGGTGGAGAATGGTTGTCAACCTCCTTCTAACGAACTACTCATACACACACGGACACACCTCGCCATCGCCTGCATACAGGATGGAACAAACAGGGGCACGCTTATTCAGACTGCAAGAGCTTCACCAGAGTTCCATGGGAGAGCAGTGCATAGTGATGTGGCAATTAGAGCAGGCAACGAATGCACATGGTTTGCATCGGGGGCCATGTTTTTTGTCGTGAATACGTGCACAGACAGCGGTAATGTTGAACACATGTGCAGATTTGTGCAATGGTACAAGGAGGTCGACGGCGAAAGACAACACATACCAGGTTGCAAGAAATTGAAATGAGAGAAGTTGAATCGACATCAACACAGTAGCGTCATATCGATTGACACTATCGTAGACACAGTTCATATTCTTCCATGTTTCTCTAAACCACAATGGGGATCGAAATAACATGCAAAACAACGTGAGGGCTGTTTTTATTTGAACAAGTATGTATTGTAGAAGAAACAAATGAAAAATTTGTAGCTTTGGTATTAGAGAACCGCGCCTTGTGAGAAACTAATGTTGTCTCGTTATGGTCTCACATGACAAAGAGG